CAATCATTGAGATGAAACAAATGATTTGTGGTTTGTGGAATGTAAAACTGAGGATCTTGTCTGTAAATCTTCACTCAATTCACAATAAAACGTGTTTCAAAAGTTTCAAAAATGGGAGCAGCATATGTTAATATTAGTATTATTAATATTCCCTCTTCCTTTGTTGTTGTGAGGTACCATCGAGTGAGCCTACTGCCTGGTCCTGCGCTGACCTCGCATTCCTTGGTACACTTGAGCCCATTGCTGCTGCCACCATGTCAGCTTTCTGACAGTACCTCTTTCCTTACAGTCATATAATGATAGAGTTCATCTTTTAGTCAGTCATATGTCACTTAACAACAACAACATGTCACTTTTATCCACTGTGTACACGTCATGTGCCAGGAAGACAGAGCATCTCTCTGCGTTGTTCCTAAAAGGGCTGTAAAACGCCAAATCCAATATTAAGATGCAGAAGTGACCTTTTGGGGATATGCAGAAATTGATAGGCAGAAACACTACCCTCTGGACAAAGAAAGTCAAGGAAGACCTAATGAGGGATTTACTTCAGAAAACCTTGCAATTTGCAAACGTATTGTTTCACTCCAGAAAGTTGCAAAACGCTGCGGCCCTGACAACCGTAATTAACCAGCAGCACCCACATCAGTGTCGACGGATAGAGTGTGTCTCTACCTTGTCCGTGAGCACCTGCATCAGGTTTCCCTTCTTCATGTACTCCATCACAAGACAGTAGTTTCCTTCCTCAATGATGACACCCAGGAGCTTCATCACCCGGTCATGGTTCAGCCTGTGCATCATCCTCCCCTCCTCAAGGAGGGCCTCATTGTATCTGTGGGAAGGAAGGGTGCTGTGTGAACACGGGCAGACTGCCCTGCCCCCTCAGCACCTCCAAAAGCTCTGTAGATAACCACAACCCACCACATCCCACATGCTTTGTAACTACTTGTGCATGAATTTTATTTTTATTATGTATTGAGTGATAGTTTATATGGGAGAACATCAGTTTTACACTCATCCTATCATGTTTCAATACAATGAATACAATTCCCTCCGTGCATTATCATTCAACAGTATTTGCTTTTATTCCCTCTGGGTTTTTTTGTGTTTTTTTTTGGATGCATACAAAAACCCTCAGAAATATATAGGCATTTAAACAGCTAAAGGGCACACTCTGCCAGTCTGCTTACTGGCCGACAACACACAGCCTTTCTCTTTCCATGGGTCTAGAGTCCCTCAGCTGGTCTCTCTCTCCATGTCTTCATCTCTGCCTCCATCTCTGGTGTCACTGCTTCTTTGGATAGGGTCCTGCATTCCGCTCATGCTCTTCTCCCTTGGTGGTTCTAGGGTCCTCTGTTCCTGCACTGTAAGATAAACTATCCCCCCCTTTTTGTTACACAACTTCTACCTTTACAGTTGTGACAGTAGCAATTAGTCATGGTAACAATTATTCACTATTGAATCATAAGAATCTTATCCCCCTTCTCTTTTTACCAGACCTGTCTAGACAAGATAAAAACATTTCAGTGGGGATTCTAATTTTCCCCTCACTCTGAACTAAACTGCCTCTTGAAAACTTGTAAGCCAGTCACTTCATGCTTTTATAGCCCCGTCATTTTAGGTATCCCAATGTCTAAGTTAACCATCCCTATCAACCCTGTGTACAGAGGGGATGGGAATGATCCATGATGTGAGTGTATGGGTTTTTTAATCTTCTAAGGGCAGCCTACAAGCTTTACAAGGCAGGGCTGTTTCTCATTCATCTCTGAATTTCTACTTCCCTGTGAGTATTCAACAAATGCTAAAACAATCAACAAATGAATGAAAAGTAAATGATACATCATGTATCGTGTAGATGCATAAATGTAGCATGAGAAAAAGTCATATTGGACAGCATATGCAGCTACTCTCATAATCACTTTGACAAGAAGACGGAGAACTAAAACAATGCCACCTTTCAGAAAAAGGGTTCTTTAACAAAGCAGATGGGAGAACAATTAGGCAGGTTTGAACAGGCTAAGTGGGACAGAGGTAAAGAATGATGTATGCACAACCTTGGAACAACAGGGTTCTGTGATACAGAGACTGAGCCATGGTTGGAATG